AGGTTGGTGTGACGACCCTGGAAATTTGAAATTACGCTAGCCAAAATTAGTGCCGAATAACTGAAGGAACCGAATAACTGATTGCCAGATTTGTGATGGTGGACCTGTATTTCATTCATTTAAGATCAACTTCAAACACAATTATAGCAATATTTATAGCCATAAATCTTGATCATACTTCATAGAGAAATTGAGTAGAGTGGACCCCCGAGTTTCGTGATTAATCCGTTTCAGAGAGCCCGCCGAAGGTCGAAATTCACGAAACTCGAAACCATTTTCCCCATAAGAAATAACGGAAATAAAATTAATCCATTCCAAACACCCAAAAATATTAAAATAAATTTTTTTTTTTTCAAATGAAATAAAGATTTACATAATGAAAACAATCAGAAATCAAGTACATGCATTTAAAATAAATAACAATAATAATTTTAATAGTTTTAAAAATGCAGTAGTATTAGAATGTGGGGCAGAAGTTTGTGGTTATAGGAGGGTGGGGGCAGGAGGAAAGAGGAGTGATTGGTGGAATGATGAAGTAAAGGGTATGATAAGAGAGAAAAAGGTAGCTTATGAGAGGTTTTTACAAAGCAGAAGTGTTATAAGAAGAGCAGAGTATATGGAGAGTAAAAGAAAGGTGAAGAGAGTGGTGAGAGAGTGCAAAAGGAGAGCAGATGATAGAGTGGGAGAGACACTGTCAAGAAATTTTCATGAAAATAAGAAAAAATTTTGGAGTGAGTTAAACAAGTTAAGAAAGCCTAGGGAAAGTATGGATTTGTCAGTTAAAAACAGAGTAGGGGAGTTAGTAGATGGGGAGAGGGAGGTATTAGGTAGATGGCGAGAATATTTTGAGGAACTTTTAAATGTTGAGGAAGAAAGGGAGGCGGTAATTTCATGCACTGGCCAGGGAGGTATACCATCTTTTAGGAGTGAAGAAGAGCAGAATGCAAGTGTGGTGGAGGTACGTGAGGCATTACGTAGAATGAAAGGGGGTAAAGCAACTGGAACTGATGGGATCATGACAGAAATGTTAAAAGCAGGGGGGGATATAGTGTTGGAGTGGTTGGTACTTTTGTTTAATAAATGTATGAAAGAGGGGAAGGTACCTAGGGATTGGCAGAGAGCATGTATAATTCCTTTATATAAAGGGAAAGGGGACAAAAGAGATAGTAAAAATTATAGAGGAATAAGTTTACTGAGTATACCAGGAAAAGTATATGGTAGGGTTATAATTGAAAGAATTAGAGGTAAGACAGAATGTAGGATTGCGGATGAGCAGGGAGGTTTCAGAGTGGGTAGGGGATGTGTAGATCAAGTGTTTACATTGAAGCATATATGTGAACAGTATTTAGATAAAGGTAGGGAAGTTTTTATTGCATTTATGGATTTAGAAAAGGCATATGATAGAGTGGATAGAGGAGCAATGTGGCAGATGTTGCAAGTATATGGAATAGGTGGTAAGTTACTAAATTCTGTTAAGAGTTTTTATGAGCATAGTGAGGCTCAGGTTAGGGTGTGTAGAAGAGAGGGAGAATACTTCCCGGCAAAAGTAGGTCTTAGACAGGGATGTGTAATGTCACCATGGTTGTTTAATATATTTATAGCTGGGGTTGTAAAAGAAGTAAATGCTAGGGTGTTCGGGAGAGGGGTGGGATTAAATTATGGGGAATCAAATTCAAAATGGGAATTGACACAGTTACTTTTTGCTGATGATACTGTGCTTATGGGAGATTCTAAAGAAAAATTGCAAAGGTTAGTGGATGAGTTTGGGAATGTGTGTAAAGGTAGAAAGTTGAAAGTGAACATAGAAAAGAGTAAGGTGATGAGGTTATCAAATGATTTAGATAAAGAAAAATTGGATATCAAATTGGGGAGGAGGAGTATGGAAGAAGTGAATGTTTTCAGATACTTGGGAGTTGACGTATCGGCGGATGGATTTATGAAGGATGAGGTTAATCATAGAATTGATGAGGGAAAAAAGGTGAGTGGTGCGTTGAGGTATATGTGGAGTCAAAAAACGTTATCTATGGAGGCAAAGGGAATGTATGAAAGTATAGTAGTACCAACACTCTTATATGGATGTGAAGCTTGGGTGGTAAATGCAGCAGCGAGGAGACGGTTGGAGGCAGTGGAGATGTCCTGTCTAAGGGCAATGTGTGGTGTAAATATTATGCAGAAAATTCGGAGTGTGGAAATTAGGAGAAGGTGTGGAGTTAATAAAAGCATTAGTCAGAGGGCAGAAGAGGGGTTGTTGAGGTGGTTTGGTCATTTAGAGAGAATGGATCAAAGTAGAATGACATGGAAAGCATATAAATCTATAGGGGAAAGAAGGAGGGGTAGGGGTCGTCCTCGAAAGGGTTGGAGAGAGGGGGTAAAGGAGGTTTTGTGGGCGAGGGGCTTGGACTTCCAGCAAGCGTGCATGAGCGTGCTAGATAGGAGTGAATGGAGACGAATGATACTTGGGACCTGACGATCTATTGGAGTGTGAGCAGGGTAATATTTAGTGAAGGGATTCAGGGAAACTGGTTATTTTCAAATAGTCGGACTTGAGTCCTGGAAATGGGAAGTACAATGCCTGCACTTTAAAGGAGGGGTTTGGGATATTGGCAGTTTGGAGGGATATGTTGTGTATCTTTATACGTATATGCTTCTAAACTGTTGTATTCTGAGCACCTCTGCAAAAACAGTGATAATGTGTGAGTGTGGTGAAAGTGTTGAATGATGATGAAAGTATTTTCTTTTTGGGGATTTTCTTTCTTTTTTGGGTCACCCTGCCTCGGTGGGAGACGGCCGACTTGTTGAAAAAAAAAATAACAACATTACACTTACCTTTACTAAAGACTTCTGGGTGGATGGAAGATGGGAGGAGGTGATAGGAGGAAGGTGTACACTATTGTTTGGAAGGAGAATCTCCTTCCATTAGGACTTTAGGTAGCAAGTCCTTATCTGGGGTTACTTCCCTTCTTCTTTTAATGCCACTGGGAACAACTTGAGTCACTGGACCCCTGGCACACAAAATATCTATCCAGAGAGATCTTTGTCTGGCGTTTCTTTAAGATTTCCCTGAAGTGGGACACAACACTGTCATTGTACATGTTGCAGATACAGCTTGTTTCAGCTTGGTCAGGGTGATACTTTTCAACAAAACTTTGCAACTCATTCCACATTCCACACATGTCCTTACTCACTGAAGAAGGCACCTCATCCACTCCCTCTTCCTCCTCCTCTGAAGCAAGTTCCTCGGCTGTGGTCTGATGCTGTTCCAGTTGAAGCTCTTGCAGTTTGTCAGTGGTTAGCTCTTCCCTGTGGTCCTCCACCAACTCTTCCACATCCCCGTCACTCACTTTATTTACCAAAGGGCTTGCACTAGCTTTCCTTGGGTCCATGATGACTTATTTAGCAGTTGCAAGCACAAAAAACAATGGATTATTATGAAACATATTGTATGAACCCGCTGGGTGATGGTCACGTGTTGGTAAACAATGGCACACTGAGCATGAATGGCGTGGGAGACTCGCTTTGTGTGCGCGGTGACGGGCAGACGGGTACCGGACAGTCGCCGAAACACAAGTTTTTTCACAAAACTTGAGGCCAAATTTTTCAAAAAAAAAAAAAAAAAAAAACTCGCCGAAGGTCGAATTTCGCGAAAGTCGAGGCTGCCGAAACTCGGGGGTCCACTGTATAATCCTTTGTAAACCATGCGTGTCATAAAACGCAACTAAAATGCCAGGAGCAAGGGGCCAGTAATTTCTTCTACTGTATACATTATTAAATTAAAAAAAAAAATAGTTGCCTAAACATATGGTGTACAAAGGGAGTACTTAGGATAACTGCATGTCCAGGCAGCAGTAGGTAAGGGAAAGTAGTGGTGTAAGCAAGCAGAGCTTCTGCACATCAATCACTGACAGGTATTGGACATAGCTGAGTTGCCGTCCAACAGATCAACAGATTTATTAAATCAACAGATTTATTAAATCCACAGGTCTTGACCAATCTCTACCAAACAAATGAGCCTACCATACATGCAAAACATGCACACCTACAAAATATCATTTTTTTTTTTTTTTGTTTTCAAAGTACCAGCCATATCCCACTGAGGTGGGGTGGCCCAAAAGGAAAAACGAAAGTTTCGCCTTTTAAATTTAGTAATATATACAGAAGGAGGGGTTACTAGCCCCTTGCTCCCGGCATTTTAGTCGCCTCTTACGACACTCATGGCTTACCAAGGAAGAATTCTGTTCCACTTCCCCATGGAGAAAATATCAATGTATAAAATAAAAAAATAAATGTTTCTAATTCTATTTTAATTATTAAATAGGTCTTGATGAATTTCTACCCAATAAATATGACCCCTCCACACATGCATAAAATAAACATATACAAAATATGACTGCATTTGGTGAAAAGTAACAGAAAATAATAATTATTTTAAACAATTTCTATTTGAATACAGCAGAATCCCCGTATCCACTGATTCAGTATCCGCAGTTTCAGTTATCCACGGTTTACTGTGGCCCTAATATACCTCTTAACTTTTCATAATAATGGACCCAAAGAACAAAAGTTGAGAAGCTGGCAGTTCTTCAAAGCCTAAGAGAAGCTGTGAAGTGCTTCCCATCAGTGAAAAAGTGATAATTCTCTACTCACTGTTCATAATTTATCAATTAATCTCTATAATAGGTATGTATAGGACTTAAATACATGTAGGGTTTGCTACTATCCACAGTTTCAGTATCCAGGGTAGGTCCTTAGAATGTATCCTCTGTGGATATGGGGGTCCTACTGTATTTGCAATGTCCATATCTGCAGATTGGCATTCATAAGAAACTAATTGGTTTCATAAAGTACATATCTTCTTAACACAAATGTTCATCAGATAGCATTCTACCATAGTCAACTCTAACTAAATAAGTAGATGAAATAATTTCATAAACAAAATAATACTCTTTAATCTGAGTAATTATAATTTTATACAACAATTTAGCTACAGAAACAAAAATTACCTGGCTAACCCATTTTTGTGTACTAAATGCGAGATGATAGACATGCTGGAACGGAAGAGTGAGGAAGTACCCCGAAACCGTAAAGAACTCACAGCCTTCAGAAAATCAATCAGAGGCATCTTTGACTCTCCTTCAACACCAAAAATTCTGAAAATAAAAATATATTAGCAATGAATGAAATTTAACCTGAGTATTCCATTATTTAAGAATACTGTACATAAGTAAATAATGAGTGTCATTCACAGAATACATGTATGTAATTAATAGTCATGGTGTTTTACCCTTAAACTGTCCAAACATAGATCTACATTTTTTCAACATTTGAATATGTAAAAAAACGTAGATCTTCTTTTCTTTTTTTTACATTTGAAAACGTGTAAAAAAACTTTGATCTACTTTTTTTTTTATATTTGAAAATATGTAAAAAAAACGTAGATCTACTTTAGGAGCACTACGCATGTGAACGTAAATTTGTTTGGACAGTTTAAGGGTTAAAAAAGAGAACAGTGCAATAAATACCCATACAGCAATTAGGAAAATGGAGTTGGGAACTACAGGGAACTGGGAAATTAATATTAATTTATAGTAATGAATTATACACAAATAACTCACACAAATATCAAAGAAACTTATGACATTGTCATAAGTATCATTCTCTTATGTGCGAGATATTTGTATACTGTTTTAGTTGTGGAATTATTCTTTACAAATACAAAAGTTACACATTTACAGACATGGAACTTAGACACCAATTAAAGTTTTACAAAAGCTGAGCTGCATTACAAATGTGTGAAACATAACCATACTTTGTATTATTGTTTTCTCTATAAACAAGACATCTGTAAATAAGAATATGAAAGTAACTAATTTGTAGGTTAGGGCATCTCCTGCATACTAATCCACTTGCTATACTCTGGAGGAATCAGTTTGCACAATACAAACATCAACATACGAGTTAAACTCATTAAGCAGCTCTAAGAATGTGTTAGTTTACCTGGAGTTTACATGGAGAGAGTTCCGGGAATCAACGCCCCCACGGCCCGGTCTGTGACCAGGCCTCCTGGTGGATCAGAGCCTGATCAACCGGGCTGTTACTGCTGGCTGCACGCAATCCAACGTACAAGCCACAGCCCAGCTGGTCAGGTACCGACTTTAGGTGCTTGTCCAGTGCCTGCTTGAAGACTGCCAGGGGTCTATTGGTAATCCCCCTTATGTATGATGGGAAGCAGTTGAACAGTCTTGGGCCCCTGACACTTATTGTATTGTCTCTTAACGTGCTGGTGACACCCCTGCTTTTCATTGGGGGGATGTTGCATCGTCTGCCGAGTCTTTTGCTTTCGTTGTGAGTGATTTTCATGTGCAAGTTCGGTACTAGTCCCTCTAGGATTTTCCAGGTGTATATAATCATGTATCTCTCCCGCCTGCATTCCAGGGAGTACAGGTTCAGGAACTTCAAGTGCTCCCAGTAATTGAGGTGTTTTATCTCCGTTATGAGTGCCGTGAAGGTTCTCTGTACATTTTCTAGGTCAGCAATTTCACCTGCCTTGAAAGGTGCTGTTAGTGTGCAGCAATATTCCAGCCTAGACAGAATAAGCAGCCTGAAGAGTGTCATCATGGGCTTGGCATCCCTAGTTTTGAAGGTTCTCATTATCCATCCTGTCATTTTTCTAGCAGATGCGATTGATACAATGTTATGGTCTTTGAAGGCGAAATCGTCCAACATGATCACTCCCAGGTCTTTGACCTTGGTTGTTCGCTCTATTTTGTGGCCGAAATTTGTTTTGTACTCTGATGAAGTTTTAAAGTATTCAAAGAATTTTCTGTAATGGACAACAAATAAGGTACTTAATTGACAGCAATGGTTGTGAGAATACAAGGGCAGTAATGAAAATGGTGGTTTAAGAGCCAAAACTGACAGTTGTATTCCCAGTGGTTCATTAGAACCCATAAATAAAATAAAAGAAAATATTATTAATATTGAAAAAATGTTGCAAGATATACCGTATGTAGAAATAAGTGATAAGGAAGACAATCTTCGCAACTCTCTAATCACAGAGAATATATGATGGGTAATAAGCTGGTCAGGAAATTAAAATAGAATGGTTTTACAAGAAAATGAAAATGATAGAGAAAAGCGAGATATAACAAATTTGAACTCACTCAAGAGCTAGTTTAGTTTGTTCTTTGATGATCTCCTCCGTGACTTCTTTACCTTGTAACTGAGCAATGTCTTCTACCATTTCCTTCACTTCATGCACCTCCATATTACCGTCCTCATCTTTGTCGTAATACCTTCAGCATAAAATACAAAAATCAATAAAGACTACTTTGTTCAAAGACTCCAAAGTTCACTATTACTATTAGTCAAAGTTGAATTCCTCCTTTACATCCCTCATTAGCTATTTATTATCATACACTTACATACAGTCCCTCAATCTAAGAACAATTTGCTCAGCATGATTAGACATCATCCAGGTATAGCCTTCAATTTAATACAAAATGATAATTTTTTTTTTTTTTTTTTTTTTTTTTTTTGCTCCTCAACCTTACCCATCACATCCACTTAACACCATCCGCTTACCTAATGTTCTTTTATAAGTGTATACTGCAAACAATTTAGTCTGTTTTAAATGAAGACCTACTTATAAGCACTCATTATTCATTATTATTTGTACTTCCTCTACCAAGTAAAATGAGGTGGGCAAGGTACAACTTAATCCCATTACCTCGCTTCCTCTGCTAACATTATTCTGTCATTACCTACTCTACCATACCTTCTACATGGATATACAACTATAGCATATTCACCTCCACACATCTCTCAACTGACCCTAACCTTCTAATATATACAGCATAATAATCATAAATGTATATGTAAATGTAAATAATAATAAATAATTTTTTTAACAAGTTGGCCATCTCCCACCGAGGTAGGGTGACCCAAAAAGAAAGAAAATCCCCCAAAAGAAAATACTTTCATCATTCAACACTTTCACCTCACTCACACATAATCACCGTCTTTGCAGAGGTGCTCAGAAATATGTACAACATTTTAGAAGCATATACATATAGATACACAACATATCCCTCCAAACTGCCAATATCCCAAAACCCTCCTTTAAATTTCGAACTTAATCCGTTCCAGGAGTTAGTTCTAAATTCGAAAAGTCTGAAATTCGAAGAAATAATGGAAATACAATTAATCCGTTCCAGAAACCCAAAAATATTCACAAAAAAAAAAAATACATTTTATAGAGATTAATTACAGTTTTACATACACACAACAAATGCTATAGTCTTTAATTATGTATAGTAATATAAAATAACATTTTTACTTACCTTTATTGAAGATTGGTGATGGCATCTGGAAGACAGGGAGGAGGAGAGAGGGAGTTGGGGTTATTGTTTGGAAGGAGAATCCCCCTCCATGAGGACTTCCGGTATCAAAGCCCTCTCTGGGGTTGCTTCCCTTCTCTGTATTTTAATGCCACTAGGACCAGCTTGAGAGTCATTGGACCCCAGTCTCACAAAGTAACTGTCTACAGTCCTCTGTTTCTGTCTCACAAAATAACTATCCACAGTCCTCTGTTTTTGTCTCATAAAATAACTGTCCACAATCGTCTGTTTCTCTCACAAAATAACTCCACAGTCGTCTGTTTCTGTCTCACATAATAACTGTCCACAGTTGTCTGTTTCTGTCTCACAAAATAACTGTCCACAATCGTCTGTCTCACAAAATAACTCCACAGTTGTCTGTTTCTCACAAAATAACTCCACAGTCGTCTGTTTGTCTCACAAAATAACTGTCCACAGTCTATTTCTGTCTCACAAAATAACTGTCCACAGTCGTCTGTTTCTGTCTCACAAAATAACTGTCCACAGCCCTCTGTACATCCTGGCAAGCTCAACAAGTCTCACTCCAATCTCATACTTCTGTATTATTTCCTTCTTCACATCTATGGTGTTTCTCACTTTCTTTACCACAGGGGTACCGCTAGCAAGTTTCTTTGGGCCCATGGCAGCTTATTTCACAGCCCCACAAGCACTAAACACAATTAAATAATCGTAAAATGTGCGAATGAGAGCGCAGGTTAGTGTTCACTCAAGCATAAACAAAGCTTGACTGCTCACGGTGCCTGCGCAGGGACGCGGACAGAGCAGGCCAGCGGACAGGTCCCGTACCCGGCGGTCCAAAAATAGGGGCGCGTTCGATAATAGGGACACAGTTTGTCCGAAAAAATGGTCTTTATTTTCGAAACGTTCGATATGTGATACGTTCGATTTTTGAGGTTCCACTGTATATGCTTCTAAACTGTTGTATTTCTGAGCACCTCTGCAAAAACAGTGATTATGTGTGCATGAGGTGAAAGTGTTAAATGATGATGAAAGTATTTTCTTTCTTTTTGGGTCACCCTGCCTCGGTGGGAGACAGCCGACTTGTAAAAAAAAAAAAAAAAAAAAAAAAAAAAAAAAATTAATACAGTTAGACTCTCAGAAAAAATATATTCACAACACAGTTTCTGGAATAATTCACAAATAACCTGCACTCAGGAGAGGAAAGTAACGACATTTTGGTTCATCATGGAACACTGTCGAGTCACTTAACTTGACGTTGATTCAGGACAGATCAAAACATCATGAGTTTCCTCTCTGAGTGCAGGTTATATGTGAACTGTAAGATTCCCATTTTTTTTTCTGAAATTCCATTAGCTAAAAGGTCAAATATTATATACACCACCACCAAGGACTTACTTGAAAATATAACGACAACGTATTTCTGCAGGTTCTTTTCCATGACTTGTCATAGGATCCATAGCAGCTAGTCCCAAAATAAATTCCCTTGCTCCTAGCTCCCCTTCTCTTTGCCGATCCATTGCCCTAAGAAACAAACACCTAAGTTCCCTGGATACACACTATATCTTCCAGTAATATACAGTACATATGCACTTTATTTTAACATTAAAAGACAGAAGAGAACATTAAGAAATTGGGATAATACTGTTCAAGAAAAAATAAAGCAATTTTTTTTTTAACACGTTGGCCGTCTTCCACTGGGGCAGGGTAACTCAAAATAGAAACACCTTCACCATCATTCACACTATCACTGTCTTGCCAGAGGAGAGCAGATACGACAGTTCACGTATTTGAAAAATTCAGGCACAGGAGTATTGCATGAAAAACTATCAGTGAAAAATTGACATAACACATACACTTAAGTGCTTTTGTGTTTATGCACATCTTTGGAGAAAATCTAGCTTCAAGAACATGTGTAAATACAGAAAAGCACTCAGGTAATTCAGTTACACAATTTTTTTCACTGTGGCATGTTTTCATATTTTTTTTTTCCAACAAGTTGGCCGTCTCCCACCGAGGCAGGGTGACCCAAAGAGAAAGAAAATCCCCAAAGAGAAAATACTTTCATCATCATTCAACACTTTCACCTCACTCACACATAATCACTGTTTTTGCAGAGGTGCTCAGAACACAACAGCTTAGAAGTATATACGTATAAAAATACACAATATGTATATCTCTCCAAACTGCCAATATCCCAAACCCCTCCTTTAGAGTGCAGGCATTGTATTTCCCATTTCCAGGACTCAAGTCTGGTTATATAAAATAACCAGTTTCCCTGAATCCCTTCACTAAATATTACCCTGCTCACACTCCAACAGATCATCAGGTCCCAAATACCATTTGTCTCCATTCACTCCTATCTAACATGCTCACGCATGCTTGCTGGAAGTCCAAACCACTCGCTCACAACACCTCCTTTACCCCCTCCCTCCAACCTTTTCGAGGACGACCCCTACCCCGCCTTCCTTTCCCTACAGATTTATACGCTTTCCATATACATATAAAGATATATAACATATCCCTCAAAACTGCCAATATCCCAAACTACTCCTCTAAAGTGCAGGCATTGTACTTCCCATTTCCAGTACTCAAGTTCGGCTATATAAAAATAACCGGTTTCCCTGAATCCCTTCACTAAATAGTACCCTGCTCACACTCCAACAGCTCGTCACGTCCCGAAAACCATTCGTCTCCATTCATGCACGCTTGCTGGAAGTCCAAGCCCCTCGCCCACAAAACCTCCTTTACCCGCTCCCTCCAACCTTTTTGAGGACAACCCCTACCCCGTTTTGCTTCCCCTACAGATATATACGCTCTCCATGTCATTCTACTTTGATCCATTCTCTCTAAATGACCAAATAACCTCAACAACTCCTCTTCAGCCTCTGACTAATACTTTTATTAATTCCACACCTTCTCCTAATTTCCACACTCCAAATTCTCTGCATAATATTTACACCACACATTGCCCTTAGACAGGACATCTCCACTGCCTCCAACCCCCTCCTCATTGCATCATTTACAACCCAAGCTTCACACCCATATAAGAGTGTTGGTACCACTATACTTTCATACATTCCTTTCTTTGCCTCCATAGATAATGTTTTCATATCTGTTGTCACAAATTTTAAAGTACCTCCTTCCTTACTTTATTTCAGCCAATGGGATGCAATAAACCTATAGGGTTCACATAGCACCTGTAAAATGGAAGGCATTCTGGTTCAAACCAAGGAAGGGAACAAGCTCAGTTCTTTGGGTAAAGAGAGCCCCTCACTGGCATCAAGGCACCCCCCCTCCCATTGAGACCACATAAAAAGAACCTAAAAAAAAGGAATCCTAATGGAAATATGTAACACTACTTTGCTTTATTGGGATATACTGGGTTATTGACTATTTGAGGTTACTAATCTGAATAAAGCTGTTGTCTTCTGCATAGCAAATTTTTAATCTTTACCTGGATATGACTTACAGTCAGCTAACACATGAGTACCTATTTTTACTCTTTGGTTAGCAGCAGCAGTAGCAAGGGTGTATGGGAACTTACCCAACCACTTCAACATGCTTTGGAGTCAAACCTGAGACCTTGTGATTGTGAATTACAGGAGAGGGATTAAGATACTTATTGTGAATGTATGGCTGAGCACAGACTATAACACAAATGTTGCAGTGAAATAAGACTGTATAACTTCCTCATAAATTTTGTACTTGCATATGTATATATTGTACAGTACATTTAGATCACCTGAGAGAGATGAAAGGAAAACTGGGCATGCAACATGTCTGAATGTGGACTGGATATTTTTACAAAGCTATATGATAAATGAAATACTGAAGAAAGGGGATTATATTAATACTTTGCTCCTGTAGATACTCCCAGTTAACAAAAAAATTTAAGTAATCATCTTAGAGAATATCAGCCATAAGGAATAGTGTTTAGTAACAGTATGTTACCTATTTCATATACTGTAGAATGCTTAAATTAGTCAGTGTCCTCAATCACTTCTTGATTGTACAATAATCACACTATATATTCAGTAATATACTCATTTTATGTCATAATTACAATACATTAATGTTGAATTCATCTGACAGACATTTAAATGACTTCAGAAAGGTAACTTACCTAAAAATACCCTTTTCTTTATCTTTCCAGCCTATTTCAGAAATCAACTGCTTCACATCTAGGAAGCAAACAGTTGAATGAGGGTAGCCACATCTCACAAACTCTTCAAACAAAAGTTCTATATCTGCAGAGATTAAAAAGAAAAAAACTATACATGTATTACTCATGTAAATACACCTGAGAATAACTAATGCAATAGATAAATACCAGTACTATTATATTATTTATAATTTCTCAACGAACATGGATTGCCAAAGTCTAGTGTACTCACACTGAATTAGCAAACCTGCATAAATTTTCCTTAACATGACACTAAGAGCACTGGATACACAAAATGGGGTTATACAATACATGAAGACTAACAGAGAAAGCTCTTAATAAGCATAGTGCAAAATTAAATTTTGTAATATATTAGGTAATCCAGGTTCCATCAGCCTCACCTTGCTCACCATAACCTGGTGATCGAAGCACTGCATCATCATATGATCTATGATTTACATCAACTTGTCGCCACACTTGATGCGGACCAACTTCTCTCACAATGGCTCCTACACAAGGACTCACACCTGAAATACTTAGCAACCTTTAGAAAGATATTAATTTATGTGAATGGACACAGGTGCTGTCAAGCTCAATAAAAGTCCTAACGAGCAAAACATAACCTAAATAAATATTCAAACATTGTGAATATGTTCCTTTACTTAAAATGATTACCATTATACACATACTACTTATCCTCTCAACACGGTTTTACAAAGGGGTGTTCCTGTCTTACGAATTTACTAACTTTTTTCACTAAGGTGTTTGAGGAGGTAGATCATGGTAATGAATATGATATTGTGTATATGGACTTCAGTAAGGCTTTCAATAGAGTTACACATCAGAGGCTATTGAGGAAACTTAAGGCACACGGAACAGGAGTAGAAATTTTTTCCTGGATAGAGGCATAGCTGACAAATAGGCAGCCGAGAGTTTGCGTAAATGGGGAGAAATCAGAATGGGGGCACGTCACAAGCAGTGTTCCGCAGGGGTCAGTGTTGGGCCTGTTGTTGTTCACAATTTACATAAATGACATAGATGAGGGAATAAATAGCAACATACGCAAATTTGCTGATGACACCAAAATAGGCCTTCCAATTCGTTCTAATGAGGACACTAGAGCACTCCAGGATGATTTGAATAGACTGATGCAATGGTCGGAGAAGTGGCAGATGCAGTTTAATATAGACAAATGCAAAGTTCTAAATGTTGGACAGGAAAATAACCATGTAACATATAAACTAAATAATGTAAATCTTAACACTACTGATTGTTAAAAGGATTTAGGAGTTCTAGTTAGCAGTAATCTAAAACCAAGACAAAAGTGCATTAGTGTTCGCAATAAAGCTAACAGAATCCTTGGTTTCATATCTAGAAGTATAAATTACAGAAGTCCTCAGGTTGTTCTTCAACTCTATATATCCTTGGTTAGGCCTCATTTAGATTATGCTGCTCAGTTCTGGTCACCATATTACAGAATGGATATACAGTGGTCCCTCGTTTTTCATAATTAATCCGTTCCTGGAGCCATTACTATAAACAAAATTTACGATTTACGAATCAATTTTCCCCATAAGAAATAATGTAAATACAATTAATCCGTTCCTGACACCCAGAAGTATTAAAACAAAAAAATTTTTAACATGAAATATACATGTAGTACATAAACAATACAATGGGAAATGATGAATGAAACATTAACAGCATAACCCTTACCTTTATTGGAGATTCTTCTTAGTGTATGGGAGACTGGAGGAGGAGAGAGAGTGGATTGTTTCTAGTTTGGAAGGGGAATCCCCTTCATCAACACCTCAGGTATCATTTACTTTTCTGGGGTTGTTTCTCTTCTCTGTTTCTTAATGCCACTAGGACCACCTTGAGAGTCACTGGAGTCCTGTCTCACAAAATAACTGTGGAGAGAGCTCTGTTTCTGGCATCTCTTTAACACTTCCCTAAAATGGCCCAAGACTTTGTCACTGTACATGTTGCCAACCTGGCTTGCAACAACCTTGTTAGGGTGATGTTTCTCCATAAAGCTTTCCATCTTACCCCACATAGTAAAAATCTCTTTAATTTGTGAAGAAGGCACCTTCATCCATCTCTCTTCCTCCTCCTCTGCAGCAAGATTCTGAGCTGCGATGTGTTGCTCTTCCTGCTGAAGCTCTTGCAGCTCCTCAGTGGTGAGCTCTTCATTGTGGTCTTCCACCAATTCTTCCACATCCTCCAAACTCACATCCAACCCCATGGAACTCCCCAGTGCCACAATTGATTTTACAACAGACATAGGCTCATTAGGGTCAGTCCCAAATCCTTCAAAATCCCTCTTGTCGACACAATCTGGCCACAGTTTTCTCCAGGCAGAGTTCAAAGTCCTGGTAGTCACTCCCCCAAGCCATACCTATAAGGGTTATGTAGTGGAGGATGCTGAAGTGTTCTCTCCAAAATTCCCTTAGGGTCAAGCGAGTGTCTGTGGTCACAGTCAAGCACCTGTGAAACATTGCTTTTGTGTAGAGTTTTTTAAAGTTTGCAATAACCTGCTGGTCCATGGGTTGGAGGAGAGGAGTGGTATTCGGGGACAAGAACTTTACTGTGATGAACCCAAACTCCTCGAAAATTAGGTCATCCAAGTTTGGAGGATGAGCAGGTGCATTGTCCATTACTAGCAGGCACTTGAGATCCAATTTCTTTTCCAGGAGATACTCCTTCACACTAGGGCCAAACACTTCATTGAACCACTCGACGAAAATTTCCCTCGTGACCCATGCCTTACAATTAGATTTCCAAAACACACACAATTTACTCTTCATAACATTGTTTTTCCTGAACACTCTGGGATTTTCAGAATGGTACACTAGTAATGGCTTCACTTTGAAATCCCCACTAGCATTAGCACAGAACATTAGCGTCAGCCTGTCTTTCATAGGCTTGTGTCCTGGCATTGCTCTTTCCTCTTGTGTAATGAAGGTCCTCTTTGGCATTTTCTTCCAAAAGAGGCCTGTTTTGTCACAATTGAACACTTGTTCAGGTTTCAGTCCTTCAGCCTCTATGTACTCCTGGAATTCATGCACATATTTTTCAGCCGCCTTGTGGTCCGAACTGGCAGCCTCACCATGCCTTACCACACTGTGTATGCCAGTACGGTTCTTAAATCTCTCAAACCAGCCTTTGCTGGCCTTAAATTCACTCACTTCACCACTATTTGCAGGCAATTTCTTTACCAAATCTTCATGCAACTGCCTAGCCTTTTCACAAATAATCAAAGTCATAAGAGTATCTCCTGCTAATTGTTTCTCATTTATCCACACCAATAATAACTTCTCAACCTCTTCCAGTACTGGTGATCTCATTTTTGTCAGCATAGTTACTCCCTTTGCAACAACAGCATCCTTTATTTCCTTCTTCTTGGCCACTATGGAACATAAGGTTGTGTAGGGTTTCTTATACATCCTGGACAGTACGGCCACACTTGTACCACTTTCATATTGTTCAGTGATGGTTTTCTTAAATTCAATCGTATTTCTCACCTTCTTTACCACAGGCTTGGCACTAGGAGCTTTCTTTGGAGCCATGGTAGCTTATTTAGTACTTGCAAGCACTAAAATAAATGGAATATTATGAAATATTTCGCTGGAGCACGTGAGGGGACCTTCGCTCATTGGTAAACAATGCCAGACTGGCTGCCGCCCCGGCTCACGCAGTGGGTATGAGTCCCGGGCGAACTACGACTCGCGAGTCAACCTATGAAAAGCGAGTCCATGTTTATACGAAAATACCCCTATGATTGGCGAATTTTACGATTGCCGGGAACTACGAAAAGCGGGGGACCACTGTAAATGCACTGGAAAACATACAGAGGATGACAAAGTTGATCCCATGTATCAGAAATCTTCCCTATGAGGATAGACTGAGGGCCCTGAATCTGCACTCTCTTGAAAGACATAGAATTAGGGGGGATATGATCGAGATGTATAAATGGAAAACAGGAATAAATAAAGGGGATGTAAATATTTTTTTTTTATTATTAGCACACTGGCCGATTCCCATCAAGGCAGGGTGGCCCGAAAAAGAAAAACTTTCACCATCATTCACTCCATCACTGTCTTGCCAGAAGGGTGCTTTACACTACAGTTTTTAAACTGCAACATTAACACCCCTCCTTCAGAGTGCAGGCACTGTACTTCCCATCTCCAGGACTCAAGTCCGGCCTGCCGGTTTCCCTGAACCCCTTCATAAATGTTACTTTGCTCACACTCCAACAGCACGTCAAGTATTAAAAACCATTTGTCTCCATTCACTCCTATCAAACACGCTCATGCATACCTGCTGGAAGTCCAAGCCCCTCCCACACAAAACCTCCTTTACCCCTCTCTCCAACCTTTCCTAGGCCGACCCCTACCCGCCTTCCTTCCACTACAGACTGATACACTCTTGAAGTCATTCTGTTTCGCTCCATCCTCTCTACATGTCCAAAACCACCTCAACAACCCTTCCTCACCCTCTGGACAACAGTTTTGGTAATCCCGCACCTCCTCCTAACTTCCAAACTACGAATTCTCTGCATTATATTCACACCACACATTGCCCTCAGACATGACATCTCCACTGCCTCCAGCCTTCTCCTCGCTGCAACATTCATCACCCATGCTTCCCACCTTTTAAGAGCGTTGGTAAAACTATACTCTCATACATTCCCCTCTTTGCCTCCAAGGACAAAGTTCTTTGTCTCCCCAGACTCCTAAGTGCACCACTCACTCTTTTTCCCTCATCAATTCTATGATTCACCTCAACTTTCATAGACCCAAACCGCTGACACGTCCACTCCCAAATATCTGAATACATCACCTCCTCCATATCTCTCCCTCCCAAACTGATATTCAATCTTTCATCACCTAATCTTTTTGTTATCCTCATAACCTTACTCTTTCCCGTATTCACCTTTAATTTTCTTCTTTTGACAACCCTACCAAATTCATCCACCAATCTCTGCAACTTCTCTTCAGAATCTCCCCAAAAGCACAGTGTCATCAGCAAAGAGCAGCTGTGACAACTCCCACTTTGTGTGTGATTCTTTATCTTTTAAATCCACGCCTCTTGTCAAGACCCTCGCATTTACTTCTCTTACAACCCCATCTATAAATATATTAAACAACACGGTTTACACACACATCCTTGTCTAAGGCCTACTTTTACTGGGAAATAAATTTTCCCCCTTTCCTACATACTCTAACTTGGCCTCACTATCCTCGTATAAAAACTTTCACTGCTTTCAGTAACCCACCTCCTACACCATACACTTGCAACATCTGCCACTTGCCCCCTATCCACCCTGTCATATGCCTTTTCCAAATCCCTAAATACCACAAAGACCTCTTTAGCCTTATCTAAATACTGTTCACTTATATGTTTCACTGTAAACACCTGGTCCACACACCCCCTACCTTTCCTAAAGCCTCCTTGTTCATCTGCTATCCTATTCTCCGTCTTACTCTTAATTCTTTCAATAATAACTCTACCATACACTTTACCA